TGTGCTGCCTCATTTGAGGACCACTCAGTTCAACTTGCATCTCAAATTGTCTTCATAGGACTGAGCTCTATCACAAGATACCCTCCTGTGTCCTATTCCAGTGAGGGCTTGCGGATGACCCCAACTATACTGTGCTATATTCCAATTAAGCTAGCATATACCCTTATTAGTGTTCGTACAAACCCAGTTCCTTCCGTAGCTCTTCACCAAATTGGTCTAGTTCTTCCGAATATTTTACGAGATAGATCCTCCCAAATCTAGTTAGCTGCCAAGCCAAGTTGGTGTTGCCTTTTATATAATATTATATCATGCTTGACTTTTCTGTTATACTAAGGACTTACTTGCACCCACTCGGTCTGCATTTTTCGTACCTAGACTTCCTTTGGATCGAGCATCAAACTGGCATGACCATCGAAATCTGTACTATATCACCTAACTCAGGATTTCTATTATACAATTCTCCTGCCTGTAGATTCTATCAAGATTTATTTGTATAACATTATATCATACTTGACTTTTTCGTTATACTTCCAATACCCGATTAATATTAGTACAACACGATTTACAGGGTTACAACTCCAGAAACGAACAGGGTTTACTATAAGTTAGATACAAAGGTCTAGGTAATTATTCAAATTCATCGACAGTGGGATTTGAACCCCAGACCTCTTATATGGTAGTCTGGCAACCTAATCACTATACTAAGATCGCCAGATCTTAATTTTTTTAATCTAAATATAATATAGGTAATTAGAAATGAAATGAAAATTAATTAATTATATTATTTATATACTACTCTTTCTGATGATTATTGAATTAAATAAAAAAAAGTCTACAAGAAATAATTTCAACTATCTAGTAAGAAAAAAGTATTGAACAGTATGAAGAATAATGTTCTGAACTAGGCAAAATATAGTCTTTGAATTATTATAGCTAGTTTTATAAGAGACTTACTAGAGCTTTGTTGCTGATCTTAGCAAATCTTAGTTTTTTCTTAGTCTACTAGATAATTTGTAGAAATATTGCAAATAAATCTATTAAACTATTTGAACTAGGTCAAGTAACAATATATTCACTCTACCAGCTTATGATTTTTGGCTCTACTTAGATAAACTTTCTATATCAAAGTTCTGTAGTTTTTTCTTTTTTTTTCAAAAAAAGAGAGATTTGGTTTTCCCTTGCAAATAATGATCTTTGTTTATTTCTACTATTTTTGGATTTTCATAGATAAAGCAACTACATAACAAATAGATCTATTTGAATCTTTGTTATACTATATATAAATAACTACGTGTATCTAATCACTAAAAATATAGCTAAAGTACAAAACAGATTACTCTAAAGATAGAGTTCAATTAAAAATTATATGAGATATACTTATATTGCTATAACATAATATTTTTGTTCCTAGTTCAGACTAAAGAGTAACTTTTTTCTTTTTTTATCTTTGTCTATTTTTTTATATTTTTTCTTTTATTACATCTATATTAGTATTTTTTCTTATAACAGATTTTTACTTATATAGATAATAGTTATAGATTGTAGCTACTTAAATTGATATAATTTTTATTTTTAGTTCTTATTGTTATAGTTAAATTTCTTTTTATTATTTCTTTAAAGTAGACTTTTAGAAAAGATAATTAGGAACATGCTATTATAGTCAGAATAGACTGTAAGTTCTATATTATCAATTTTTACTATTAAAGTATTGAAATATATAAAAGAGTAAAGGAAAGAAAATACTTATTATAGCAGATTATTTATAGATCTATATAGAAACCAGAAAAGCTACAATTAAAAAAAAACAAAAAATACTACTATATTTAGGCTTTCTTTTTAGTTCTTTATTAGTTTTTGTATTACAAAAACTTTAAATAAAGTTGTAGTCTAACTACTGAATTTAAAAAAAAAAAATTAATTATGTTATTCCTAGAATATCTGATTAAAAATTCAACTAGATAAGTTTTTGATTTTATTGAAATCAAAAACTTATTGTTAAATTTTTAATCAGATGTTCTAGGAATTAATTTTTTTCTTTTTTCTAACTTGAGCGATCTTGCCCTTCATTTATTAAAGGAAATATTATTAGATATATATAAAATATATATCATAAGATACAAATAGAATACAAATTATATAAGTCCTACAACTAATCTATAATTAAATTCCTCCTTATTGCAATTCTAGACTCATTCGGCTGCCAATTAGTGCCTAGGTGTGATCTGCTGCAGAAGTCATTTTTTTCCTCCTACAGTAACTTTCTTCAAAGAAGATATTATCTTTGGATCAACAAAGGTGACTTCAGATCCTATCAAGATCCTAGGTCCTTTCTAACCTAGTTAATACTAAGCTATAATTAGTTAACATCTAGTTTTAAGATAGAAAAAAATAAAAATTGTTACTAATCTAAAAGCCTAAGCTTACTAACAAAGAAAAACTTGCCCCAAGTCATAAAAACTTTGTTAGACAGTAATGTAATAAAGGGACGGAATAAAAAAGAACTAAAAAGAAAGTAACCAGATACTCTGTAACTTGAGTCAGGTTTAAAAATTTTAAGTTGTGCAACTTATAACCTATCTCATATAATTTTCTATTCAGCATACAATCTACTTTTAGAATTTAGAACCTGTAGTATCGAGATTATATTTTAGCTAAACAATCAATAAAGTATGTAAAATTGTTATTACACAAAGTACGTAACTTTGTCAATAAACAAAATATATGACTGTGTTTACTACACGAGGTTGTACATCTACAGAGTAATTCTGCAAATAGAAGAAGTAAACAATGCTGATCTTTTGTAGAGGAAACCTAGATTCCTCACTTTCGTTGAAAAAAATGAAAGACCAGAGGAAAAAGCTTGCGATATATTATTGTTTTCAAGAGCTTAAAAGAGTGTGTAGACAAAATAATTTATTATCCCTTCTTAAGTCTTCTTTTACTAACTTCATTAACAAAGAATGATTTCACGTATCTTTACTAAAATTTCTTATATAAGAGCTCTCTCCTCTTACTAGTTATCTTGTATAATATCACTTTTAGCTTGCATATTAAATATACAGAGGAGTCCTTGAGAGTAGGCAGTTGACCTCTGTAAAAACTGTTGTATTGTAAAAGAAACTTCTTCATCTTTCTATAATAAATTTTTGTTTTTTGCTTTTTCAAAATTTTGGAAAAAAGGATCATCAGAAAGAGTTGAATGGTATAATAATATTTTGTTCTAGAAATTAATTAATTACTTATTCTTTTTAAATACTATAGTTTATTGATAATATAGATTACATGTTTATCATTTGTTATTTTTTAGCATTTAGATAAATTCTTAATTATTTTTCTGAATTCGATTTTTCAATATTAGTTTTTAAAACTTCATTTGAATAAAAGTTAAGTTCATTAATTATTTGTTCGATATTAGTTATAAACTCTTTCCAACTAATATTAGAGGCAAGTTCTTTGAAATTTTAATCTTTAGAATTAATTATATAATTAATCTCTCTGCTTCATCTATGTTTTTTTTATAAATTAAAAAAAAAAAAAAAAAACAATATATAATATTAGTAGTATGATATGAAGTTTGCTGATTTGATTAGTCAATTATCATAGTTAATTTGATATAAGTTAGGTTAATCAATTATGATATCTAGATAAGGCATGCCTAGAGCACAGAGAGGCATACCCTTGACAAAGGCATGCCTTCCTAGGTATGCCCAAAAAATTTTCCGTACTTCCAACCATAATCTGAATACATCTAAAGCACAATATATATATTAATAAAAATAATTTTTATTACTTTTTATTAATTTTTATTATTTAATGTAAGTTTTGTTACCTTTTAATTGTTTTACTTTTGTAAGTTTCGCCAACTTTTACTAGTTTCGACTAGGGATTGGAACCGTTTAGCCGCATAAAAATTGTTCCATAATTTCGGGGCCGAATTATGTTGATCATGGGCCAAGGTTGTCTTAATGCCAGCCGAGTTAAACGGTTAATTCGATTAAACGGTTAAACGATTAAAGAAATTCTAGATGGTTCCAATCCCTAGTTTCGACACCTTTCAGCAGTTTCGCCACCTTTTATTAGTTTCGTCAGTTTCGCCGTTTTGCCATTTCAAAATTTTTTTTGACGAAAGACGAAACTATGTTTCGCTTTTCGTCATGCCGAAACCTCTTAAGTTTCGCCTAACAACTATAATCTGACCCGTTTGACCCGGGTTAAGGTTCATTTGGACCCGTGACCCATACGGGTCAAGCGACCCGGGTAATAATAGAATCAGCCCATATGATATCTCGTGATCCAGTAATCAGAATCAGATGATTTTTATACCATTCGATTCGTCTCGATGACGAATCTAATGGTATAAAAATTATCTAATGGATCACAAATTACCTTATATTTCACTTTTTACCCTACGTTTGATAATAATTTATTGAGATATTTAACTTTCAATTTTTAAACGTTCGTGTTCTAAAAATAGATTGACGGCTCAATTAAAGAATTAAAAATTGGATAGGCCAAAATGGAAAACCCCTTCAAAGGCGAGTTTTCCTAGTCCATTACCCATATAAGTATCGTTGCACAAATCATTCCCAATAAGATCGAAGATAAAAAAAAACGTTTTTAACGAAAAAAGTTTTACAAAAAAAAAAACTTCACTACGCTCTTATCATTAATATTTATGCTAGCGTCGATCATCTAACCCCATGGGCTCTGGGAGATTCCTTATTGGTTGAGTTGTTCAACGAGAATCTATCTCATGTGTCGCATGCTCTAAGAGATGGTTGCTAATTGGCCAATTATTTGAAAAAAAATCCGAAATGTGGGAAAGTTCCATACTTATTTTACAAAGTATTTTGTCAAACTCACAAATATACAGTACATACTGTATAAATACATATATAGTAGTAATTCTGTAATATTATTGTTATTATTTAAAAATTATAAAAACCTCGTACCATTTCTTTTGATCCGCCTGACTCATCTTTCACACAAAATCATACTATATGTACCAAAATTCGTGGTGGAGTTTTTCTTTTATTAAACCAAGCGTATCCAAAGATTCTAAAGATAACATCCATCCTGTCGTCGAAGTATCTGAAGATAACATCCACCTTGTCGCCGAAGTATCTGAAGATAATATTCTTTCTGTCGCCGAAGTATCTGAAGTTAACCAATATCAGATAATGTCGAGTGACGACAGTTCTCCAAATACAGGCAAAAATTCTTTGATAAAAGATGCAAATATCGAAAAGAAGCGGAGACGTAAGATTAGAAAACTAATATATTCTAGCTCTCAAGAAGAGATAATATTAAACTCTGATTCGGACATGGTTTACACTGAAAAACGTACTGTATACATGATACGAAAAAATTCTGACGAAAAATCAACACCTTCAAATCGGAATTCTTGGTGGTTATTCGGATATGGAGGTAACGATAGTAATAACAACAATAACAATAAGAATAATAATAATAATGATAATATCGAAATTGGTTCAGGCGAGAAAACTGCTGAAAGTGTTGACCAAGTTACATCATCCGATACCATAAATATTAAATATGAGGAACGTATGTCAGAAACCCTTAAAATAAATATCGTTGACAATCCCTCAAATCTGACTGAACAGATTACTAAATATGATACCAGCGGTTTAAAAAATTCAACAACGAATGATGTGTCATCTGCTTCGGAGAGAAGGAATTCTCCCTCTTTAGAGAGAATAAAAAAACCTTCATCTGAAACAAAACGACGGTCTTTACTCGGTACTTGGTTATATTCTACATCTGACCTGTCGGAAAATACAGGTGAAAATGAAGATATTAAAGCATCTGACGTTACTCCGTCGACTCAAACAATCCCTAAATCAGCATCATCCCCTGATTTATCGACTTCACCCGTTTCTAATTTAACGACATCATCAGTATCTAATTCGAAACAATCAACCATTCCTAACTTACCTTCAAAAGTCGATCATTCAACATCCATCCCTATAAATAATACTCCTCCTCCTTCATCACAAGGTTCCACTAAAAGCTACACATCTAGTCCATCACCATCATTATATTCTTCAAGTAAAAATCCCGTCTCAAATCAACGTTTAAATATCAAGAACCCTCCAAATCCATTAGTTCAAACTTTACCTGAAAATAGGTCTTCTTGGTTGCATTTTTTTGCGAGTGGGCCTCCTGCTCGTTCAGGAATCTCTAAAATAAAGCAGAAACCTGACGTTAAATTAATCTCTGATGTTGAGTCTGGTTCACCAGGCGAAACTCCGGAAATGACTGTTATTAATAATACAACTTTAAATGAGCTAGATAAGAAAGTTCCTACTTCTAATTCTTCGCCTAAACTTAAACCTTCAACTGTTAAACCCGTACCTGTCAGCATTGTTCTACCAAAATTTGATGAGTCTGCTATAAACACACCATTGAGACATCCTGATTCTCCTGTCCAAAAGGCGCTTCATACAATAAATTCTTATTTCTTTCCACCTGACAAACCGCGTGATGGTACCTTAAATAAGTGGTTAGATGAGATTACAAGATCAACTATTGATGTCAAACGAATTGCTATAATTGGTGTTCATGGATGGTTTCCTGCAAGATATATAAGAGCTATTGTAGGTGAACCTACTGGTACTTCTCCAAAGTTTTGTGATATGATGTCTAAAGCCGTGTTAGATTATTTATCACAATACAATATTTCTTTACCAAATGATGCGATTACTTGCATACCACTTGAAGGTGAAGGCACTATTGAAACGCGAGAAGCATTATTACATAAAAATTTATTATATAACAAGACTTGGTGTGAAGCATTGGCCTTGGCTGATGTTATATTTATTGCAACTCATTCTCAAGGTACCCCTGTTAGCACAATTCTTCTTTCTAGACTTATCAAGGAACATCTTGTGAACCCTAGAAAACAACGTATATGTATGTTAGCTATGGCTGGAATTTCTCACGGTCCATTTCCTTATTTAATGGATCATTATATAATAAAATATTTTGTTGGCGCCGGAAGAAATCCTGATGTAGATGCGTCGAGAGAACTTTTTGAATTTATGGACTCGGAAAGTACTGTTGCTAAAAAATATCGTGAAGCTCTTAATGTTGTGACCCAAAATGGGGTAAAATTAGTTTACGTTGCTTCTATGGACGATCAAGTAGTTCCGGTATGTACTTTTAGGTTATCTATTTTATTATTATTTTATTATTAAAAAATTTATATTTCTCTTTTGAATAGTTATATTCCGGGATATTTGTCGGAATAGATCATCCATCGATAATACGTGCAATTTATGTTGATGGTCCATTATATCAAGAAAATGATTTCTTGATAAATCTAATTATATTTGCTATAAAATTACGAAATGCTGGTATATCGGATCATGGATTGATTACTCAATTAAGTGAGGTTATTGTTGGTTCGTTGTATGGCGAGGGTCATTCAACTTTGTATAATGAAATTGATGTTTACACGTAAGTTGGTGATTCCATTTATGATAACTGGTATTGGTCAAAATTTTCTAATATTTATTTACTATTATTATTATTATTGTTGTTGTTATAGATTTGCGGTACGGTATCTTTTTGAAGCACCATCAGTGAAGACAAGCCAAGTAAACCTTAAAAAATTCCAAGCACAACAAAAGAATAATCCATATTATTTGCCTTGGTCAGTTCGCGGTATTTTAGAAGACCAAAGTGTTACAAAAAATCCCTATTTTGCAAACGAAGTTAACAAATTAAAGAAATTATATGAAGATTGGGACCCTTCTTCAAAGGCATTAAAGGAATTAAAGTTCCGTTTAGAACCATTTCGTGACATTCTTCTAGGAAAATGGAAGTTTTAGCAAAAAATTGAAAAAAATTGGCTAATTGTATATATTAACTTTATTATTAAAAATCTTTTGATCAATTCAGTTTTTTGATTATGTGGAATTCTAACGCCCACACATTATTGAATTTATAGAGTAGATTTATTTTCTTAGTTACTACGTATTCTCTTTACATAAAGATAATATCATATCTTTTTTTTTGTTAATTAAAATTTGTACAGCTTCATTTCATTATTATTATTTTTTTTAGAAACTAAATACACATACAGTACGCATAATTTAATAAGATTTTATATTTAACATAATTTAATATGGTTTAACGTTAATAATAAATAATATAGTAATATAATAATACAGTAGTTCATAAGGTTTTAAACCTGTTCATTTTTTTTTATGTTTGCAACAAACAAACTTGTATGTACCCCTCTTAATCAGTGGAGGCTAATGGGACTTATAAAGTCTTATTGAAGTAGAGGTCTGATCAAGGATTGGAACCGTTTAACCGCATAAAAACTGGTCCAATTATGTTGGTCATGGGCCAAGGTTATCTTAATGTCAGCTGGGTTAAATGGTTAGTTAAAATGCTTTAAATACCTTCAAAATAGGTGGCATCCTATTATACGTAAAATATAACGATAATAAAATTCGTAGATCCAACTAAATCGAAAAGAGTGATAAATTAAAAAAAATTAAAATCCGTATCTGGTATGATATTCAATGAATATATCCGGATATTCATTGGGATTTTATATCCGGATATTAAAATAATTGAACTAATGAATGAAACCGCGGCTGATCATGTAGAGAAAACCTTGGAAAAGGGTGTTATAAAGAGACCACCGTAGCTGCTAAGTCAATAAGAATGGACCTAAAAAATGAAGGAAGAATGTTAGAAACAACATTAAAACTGGAATCACAGGTAAAAGCCAAGTAAAGAAAATCTTCAATACTTATCTCCGGATTGGATTGGATCCTAGGTATTCGATCACACGGAGAACCTTTGAGTATAAAAAAAAAATTTTTAAATTACTTATCGGTAGCTTTCGTTTTCTTTTTTCATACCCCTATTTGACCTACATCTTTTTATCTATTTTATTTTCGAGTTATAATTAAACCTTATGTGAATGTATCAAATAAACGGGAAGTACTGCGGCCTCCGATGTAGTGCTAATTCAGAAATTCGAGTAATTCTTATAATCCAATAGATATTAGGAATCGCTAGAATAAACCAGTATAGGATTTACTACACTACGCGACAAGAACACAAGTCTTTTATGCTATTAGATATATGGGAAGAGTTAGAAATATTGAATAATAAGAGAAGAATATAACATTCGAGGAAGGAAGTAGATTTATATAAGAGAAGGAGGCTTGGGTCATCATCTTTTCAAATGAATTTTTAGTATGTATAACACTACCTGTGAGTATAAGGAAGTTTCTACTAAACTTATTCAACTTGAGGAGAATAAGAGTTATAATAATCTTTGGTCTAACATAAGAATTTATAGCAGAAGATAATTTAGATCAAAGAAAAGTTGTATTTCTTTTTCTTTAGCATATTTTTTATAATCTATTTATTGGTTGAATAAATTTATATCAGTATAATATCATGATCTATTAGCATATTGATATTCTAATATGATACTAATTTTAAACAGATATTTGGCTTGAATAGAATATCTTTTAGTAACAAATTAGGTTTGAAAAAATTGATAGAACTATTGGTATACTAATATGGTTATTAGATAAATATCAATTTATTATGATATTAAACTGATAATTATATCAGTATGTTAATAACTTTATTAGTATGTTAATAGCTCTATCAATTTTTTCAAATATGATTTGTTATTAAAATGTATTTTATTCAAGCTAAATATCTGTTTAAAATTAGTATCATATCAGGAATATCAATATATTAAAGGTTATAATATATACTAGTATAAATTTATTTGATTAGTAATTATTATATGAAATTCAGAATAAAAAAAAGTTAGATTATAAAATAAGTCTTAAGTAGTTAACAAATTTTAAATATAACAAAACTTAGAAAATAAGTTAGAAACAAAGAGTTTTAGCTTATATTGATAATATAACTTAGATAGCTAACTCAAAAGAAGAGTTTACAAAAATTAATAAAATATTTAATAAATTCTTTTTTTTTTTGTATATTAAAGGTAGTTTATATTGTTAAAAGAATTTTATTAGTATTGTATATAAGATTATATATTAATAATCTCTACTATTTGTAATTATATGAAGAGTATATAAACTTTCAAAAGTAGAAACTAGAAAATTTAATATTTTTTTAAAAATTAATCTGTTTAATAGATTAGATATAATATTTAATACCAAATATTTTTTATTTAATATTAAAAATCTAATTAATTAATAAATTTTTGTGATTAGATTCAGTGATCTAGTATAGTAATTAGATTATCAGATTGCTATGTAATAGGTCTGAAATTCAAATCCTACTATTAATAAATTTGAATACTTTCTTAAATCTTGTAATATATTATAGTAAATCCTGTTTGTTTTTGAAGACATATTTCTGTAAATTGAGTTGTACTAAATTGATCAGAACTTGAAAGTATAATATAATATTATATAATAAAACTTGATAGGATATATTAGTAGAAAATCTGCATAATAGAAATCCTAAGTTAGTGAAGTAGTATAGCTTCTGATAGGACTATATTAGCTAAAGTCTGATCTGAGAAGAAAACTTAGTCTAATAAAAGTAGAAGGTTTTAAGATCTCTAGACAAAGAGTAACTAGAACCAGCTAAACACTAGAAAAAAACCAAATCAACTAACCAGTAGAGAACTATAGTAGAATCTGAGGTTGTATAAATATCTACAAAGGTCTAAACTAGATAAATTTATAAAATAGGTATAGATCACTCTAGTAAGTTTGCTTCGAGGTTAACTAGCTCTGCAATATTAGTAATATATCTAGTATAATATATTCTAAGAAGACCTAAACTATTCTGAATAAATAGATCTGTAATAAACTAGCTAGCTTAAATAATTAGATATTACAGTGATATTAGATTAGATCTATATAGATTAATAAATAGAATATTTAAATAGATAACTTATAAGCAGATTACAGATATAGTAGCATAGTATAGAACCAATTGAGTAGTTTAACACCTGTGCAGTAAACTATTTAAATAGACAATAACTAAAGTTGTATATATAGCTTGTTGTATACTTTTTATATAATTACAAACAGTAGACATTATTAATATATAATTCTGTTTGCAACTCTAATAAAATTCCTTTAGCAATATAAACCACCTTTAACAACAAAAATAAATAAATAAATTTTTGAAATATAATAGTTAAAAGTTTTTTATACTATAATCTGAAAATAGATTTTTGTCATGTATTTTATTTTAGAAGCAATTTATAGATTTAATAATTCTGTTTAAACAGATTTGTTTAATTAGATTAATCTTAAATAAACTATTTTTAGTTTGTTTTAATTTTGTATAATAAAAACTAGTATTTGTAGTTAACTATTATTTATTAACTTGATTAAGTTAATATCTAAAAATTAGCTTAGCTAACTAAGTTAGAGTCAATATTTTAAATTCTATTTAATTTTAGAACATATTAGAGATTTCTTCAAATTAATTTTCTTTTCAAAATTTTTAAGATCCTACTATAACTAATTAGTTACTATAGTTTTTAACATAAAATTAACTTAACTATAACTAAGTTGATTTTTTAAAAAATTGACTAACTAAGCTAGCTAAACTAATTTTATTGACTAATGCAAAATTGATTACAAATACTAACAAAAATATTTTTGCTAAATATCTCAAAATCTATAATCAGCTAAATTTTCTAGTTTTACTTTTAAGAGTCTATATAACAAACTATATTTTTAAATAGTCTACTATATAAATATTAGATTATCTAATTAGTTCTATATTTTTTTTCCTTAAGCAGTCATACTAATACTTTATTAGACTTCTTAAAACTAAACAAATTTTAACAAATTTTTTTAATTTCCTAAGTTTAGTATTATTTAGTTTCTATATAGGGCCTAAGTATGACCTACTATACTATCTCAAATAGAGATAAACTACTTCATCTAACTGTTGCCTTATAAAAGAATATTGCTAATCTGATGATATCTTCTTGTAAAGAAGCAAAAAACAAAAAAAATTTTTAAGTAAGTAAAGAAAAAACAAAAAGAGATATAGGAGTAAACAATAAAAAGATATAGATCAAGAAATAAAAAGAGAAAGAATAAAGGAAGAAAAAAGAACATAAAATTTGCATTTTATAAATAACAGATGAATTACTATTATAAGCATGTGATAGGCTTTAAAAATTATAGACTATACTAAATAAGAATAACTCTACTATCTTCTTATTTAATTAGAATATTTAACAAAAAACTATGTAGAAAAGAAAAAACTTCGACTTAATTATAGAGAGTCAGTATAAGATACTAATTAGTTTAGAAGTAGTATTTTCAAGTTCTAGTATCTTCAAGGCATATGTATAGTCATATTTGTATTATTATTTTGTTTTTGACCTAAGTCAACAACAAACTCATTTAGAAAATAAATACTGCTAACTGTTTTAGAAGTTTTATGTATCGATCTTTAGAAGAGAGTAAACTGAAATACGCACTTTTTACAAAATTCTTAAAGAAAAGTAAAGGTAAGAGATAAACTAACTTTGTAGCTTTTATGAGTTTTAAATCCTTGCAGGTGTTCCTTGTAGGTTTTATAGTTGTATAGAACTAATATATTCAACTTTGTTATTTACCTGAACAAAAAAACTTTAGCTTTTATGACTACTTTTTCTATAGTCCTAGAGTACTTTAAACTATTTCACAAAGCTATGACTTCTTTTTCAACTCTATTTCAATATCTAACTATATGAGTACAGTACTCTAGAAAAATTTTTTTGAAGGATAATATATTAACTTTATTATTTTTTTGTTGTTTAGCTTCTTGAAAAGTTGGTTTAAATTATCATCAGAGAGAG